CAGTAAATGATATCAGAAACAAATTGTTCATATGGACGCAACCAATGAAACAGACTAACGTGGATTTCGTAAGTGTGGTGATACGTCTTTGAAAGTTTGGTCCAGTCGGTACATTGAAGTTGGCTTTTGGAGACAAAGCAAAACGCAAACAGAAAATCGTGTATCCAACATGGTTGCCAAATCATGTGACCAATGACCCAAATGTACCGTGATGTTTATTGAGGGTCTGACCTATCTTGTTAAAAGGGTGACGAAAGAAAGTCCCATATCCCAAAACAGCGGCAAAATGAAACAAATAGTATATTTGAAACTATTTGAGAGAAAGCTCCAAGACGCACAGGTCCACAAGAACATCCTCACTTTAACGATTCGCGATTTATATCCCCCCAAGTTTCCTATACTTGTGAAAGACATTTGCCGCCATCTTCAGACACTGAGTGATCTTAATATGTAACAATTATCCTGATAATGTCTTCAGATCCCCAATGGCGAGTTCCGAGTCGATGATAGGTGAAGTTTAAGCCATGTTTTATTGTAAATTTTGAAAGTAGTGTTTTCCTGACCGAGGATGATTTTATATAGTATGACCAGAAATTATTGAGAATTTTAGGAATATGTTTAATTGGATTTCTAGTATAAACAACCTTGACCAGCTATCAAGTGCTTGGTTTCATTCAAGAGAGACAACTCCGTTAATCCTTTTTCATTAGTTTGGGAAGAGTTATCCACCTTTGTTTACTTGCTAGCAGACGACATTTTCAATGATTCTCAGTATGGATGATTTAGAGAAGAGGAAGTTGATTTTTATGAGTATTTATAACAAGGACATCAGATCAGCTAAAGTGATTTCAAGTAGAACAGGCATCCCTTTGTCCACTGTTTATCGTGTTTTGAAAAATATTGCAAACGGATATGGCATTGAGCACCAGGGGAAGCGCAGGTAGGCTCAGAAAATTGACTGTCGGTGACAATAGGTGGCTTGGTATCTGGTTTCTTAAAATAAACGAAGGAGTTTAGAAAACTTAACGCTGGATATGATTGATAGAGGAACTGTGGCTGTCTGTAAGGAGAGAATTAGAACTGAGCTGCATGCAATGGGTTGGCAGAAAAGTTGAGGAATTCCAATTCCCGATCATGGAACCTGAACAAAAGGAGCGAAGGTTGAACTGGTGCTTACAGCATAGAAATTATAACTGGGACAATGTGATTTTCTCAGATGAAAGTTCTGTGTGGCTGTTTCCTAATACACTGAAATTCTGGACCACACAAACTGAAAAACCTTTGTATCAGCGCCCAAAGTAAAGTCCAAAATTTAACGTGTGGGGTGGCATATCTGTGTTAGGGGCAACGCTCCTCTGAGTATTTGAAGGGAATATGAACAGTGAGCGGTACACAGATATTCTCGAAGGACATTTACTTCCATCTGCTCACGTGTTCTAAGGAAATGTCTGGATTTTCCAGCAGGACAACGACCTAAAAACATCATTCAAAGCATTCACAGGCCTGGTTTCGGACCCAAAATATGATATTATTAGATTGGCCAAGCTATAGCCCTGACCTAAATCCAATAGAAAATGTTTGGGGACTTGAAGGAAAGTGTCAATAAGAAAAATCTGACAAATATTGCTGAAATGAAAGAAGAGGTGGTCCGATATTGGGACAGCATGGACCACGACTTTCTAACTTCTTTGAGCAGTAGTATGCCCCGCCGAATTGAAGCCTGCATTGCTGCCCATGGTGACTTGACAAAATACGAACTGTTCACCTGTCTTTGAATCTGGAGTTATGTTCTGCTAATATTCACATTTAATACGTGAGTAATGAGTGAAAAAAAATGTACAATCTTTAAATTCTCAATAATTTCTGCTTGTAGTGTATATATTAGTAAATTACACCAACAGTTGACCGTGTCTTGACGATAAACCAACACATTATAAAGTACACATACCTACATCGCTGACTGCTCGGAACGTTAGCATGATGCTTGAATCCCCAACTTTGACACTCTGGTTACTGGAAACGCCTCGCACACTTGTGTTTCTTGCCAGAGCGGGCTGCTGCAAGGCAACTACACAAGCTGCATCCACCTGACCTTGGATATTTTCATATTTCAATTACACTGAGACCTGGCTTTTTCCTGTTGAAAAACCAACACATTGTAAGATAAACCTTCCCATATCATTGGCTGATGGGGACCTTCGAGGGGTGATTGACTTCTTCGCTGTGACACTCAGGTTGCAGGGCGGGGTCATAATGAAGCCCAACTCCTTGCAGACTGCTGTCTCGGGTGACAACTGGCTACTCCAACACAACTACGCTAGCTGCATCCAGCGGACAGCTCAAACACATCCATTTTAGCAAGCTGATAATTTGATCGTTTGTTGTTCATGACGACTGGCAGTAACATTCTAGCTGCACACGGCGCTAAATAATTTATTGGTTTGGGCATATATATATATCGAGAGATTGCCGCACAGAACACTTGTGTTTGTGTGTGCATGAAACTCCGAGTAACAATAATCCAGTGTACTAAACATACCCGCCATATAGCTGGATCATTAAAAAACTAGACTCACTCACTAAACACACACACACACACACACACACACACACACACACACTATATATATATATATATATATATATATATATATATATCGGCTCCCTCGGGTGTTTCTGTATCAGGAGGAAGCATGGCTGCCTTTATTACGTGTTTATTGCGATTTTACAAAAACATTTTTCTTCAATTTTAATCATGTAAGGTGACTATCGGAATGGTTTACCCCTATGGAAAAATAGCTGTTTCTTAGTATTCTCCTTTAGACAAAGGTAATTAGAACTAAAGCAAATATTACATACAAGGGGCTGTTAACAATGACAGAATATCACTCCACCTTGAGAAACAAAACACATCAATGGATTAATTAACAAATTTAATTAATTTCACATTATAGTGGAGGAACCCCTATGTGCATATCATATTCAACAATTAAGCCAAAGGTGACATGCACTGATACCAGTAAGTGTGTCTTTATTGACTATGGCCATGCTAGGCCTTGCATATGTTACCAGTAGTTTACATGATATTCAAATGTTACTCAATGACGACAAAGCATCATTTTTCTTCAGTCACAGAGTTCATTAGATATACTTATATACTGAGTCAAAAAAGAAACTTCACATTCTTTCTTCAGGGCACTATAAAAGAACAAGAGATGGTAAGATGGTTAAATTGTTATTATTTCATTGCTGAGATCTGTGTGATGTAGTCGATACACTGACAGTGCCATAATCAGTTCCATTAGGCTACACCGCCGTTCCAAAACATGGGTATACAGAATGTCAAGTCACAAGAATAAAAATGCGAAATTTCTCAGTTCAATATCGTGTATGGCCGCCCCGCGCATTCACCACTGCCAAACACCGTCTCCTCATCGACTGCCTGATGCTTGTGAACACGTGATTGGGGATTCTGCGCCATTGCTCTTGCAAGGCAGTGCCAAGTTCCTACAAATTCTGAGGTTGGTTCCTAAGACCACGAAGCCTTCTCCCAAGTGCATCCCAAACGTGCTCTATTGGATTAAGGTTAGGGGACCTCGATGGCCAGTCCATGACGTTGATGAAGCGTTTTGAAGGAGATTTCGTGTCAACATCGTGGTATGCGGCCGAGCATTATCATGCTGGAACTGTAGACCTGGCCCATGAGCCGCCATGAAAGGAACGAGTTCAGGGGTGAGCACCTGGTCGCGGTAAGCAGCAGCTGTGAGGTTTCCACGGATGACCCGAAGTCGGGAACGGTTGTTCCAACAGAAAGCACCCCACACCATGCAACTTCCGCCCCCGAATCTGTCGACTTCCTGTACACAACATTGGGCATACCGTTCACGACGTCGTCTCCAGACTCTATGCCTGCCGTCCGCGAATCTGAGGGTAAACCTGGATTCATCGCTAAAGACGACTCGATTCCAGTCTCTCTGGGTCCATCGGAGGTGACGTTGGGCCCACAGCAGACGTTGACGTTGATGAAACGGCGTCAATATCGGCCCACGATATGGACGTCGAGAATGGAGATTGGCAGCCCGCAACCGATTTCGAATGGTTTGTGAGGACAGTCGACCTCTGAACATCTCAGCCCTGGTTCGTGTAGCCGGCAGAAATCTGTCACGTAGGTGACGTAGGACGATTTGACGGTCTTCTGCTCGTGACGTCACACGTGGACGACCCGACCTTGGGCGATCAGAAGTGGTGCCAGTTTGTTGTAGACGACCTCGCAAGTCATACACTGAACAACGGCCGGATCCCATTGCTCTTGCGACGTCAATAACTGATCTTCCCGCTTGCAACATGCCAACGGCACGTTCACGTGGCACATTTGACAATCGTGGTATTTCAAGTACCGTTAGAACTGTGGTTTAAAACTTCGATGAGAAGATCACGTGATCAACTGCACGTGCTAAACCTGATTTGGCACTACTGTCATTTGCACGACGAATGGATGGGTTTGAGTGGGTTTTGCTAACGTTTTTCTAGAGTCGAAAGATACGGATCCCATTTCGGATGCATAGATGTATCATCAGAGAAAATGTTTTCATTATTTTTCAAATTACATTTTGTGAAGTTTCTTTTTACACTTGTTATACCCAGCCACACTATATGTTACTCACACTTAATGAAGCTATACAGTAGGTATACCCAGCCACACAGTATATTACTCACGCTCAATCACACTATACATTACACACCTTGGGATGATATGGTCTTTACAATAGATAGCTGTTTATTTTTCATATCAACCTCTTGTGACGTTATCAGAGGCTGGTTGGCTTTAAACCCCGGATGACGTTACGAGATCAGTCTAAACAGCCTGACAAACGTAGCCTCGTCCGGATACATAAAAATTCGACTACGCCTCAGTTTTGTATCCTCCCTCTGTTAAAGGTACGTCAGGATTTCTTGAATATTACTCTCGGCTTCGCCTCAGTTTTGTATCCTCCCTCGGTTAAAGGTACGTCAGGATTTCTTGAATATTACTCTCGGCTTCGCCTCAAGCAATATTGAGTTGAAGTAACATTGAGTTGAAGAAACGACACACTTCATATTTTCTTTCTTGATCACTACATTGATGGTGCAATTTTATGCCAAAACGATTCCGCCTGGCATTGATGGAGGAACATCACTCGTGCATCTGATGTCGCTCGGGGCTGCGGTATCAGTCTTCTCACTCACATCTATACTACAGTCAGTTGCTGTTGCACTGGCCGGAGAAATGTTAATCACGGCGCTGACCTCGATCTTCTGGCCTTTTGATGTCCGTCTGTAGTTACGACAACCTGCAAAATAAAGAGTTGGATGATAATTTGTAGTATTTGTGTTATTCAAGATATGTCAATTAATTTTGATAAATGATTTATTACAATGGATTTTTCTATGCAATTTGTGACAAACATGAACATGACTAAACGATACGATATGAACATATTAACTCAGTCCACATACGCCCATTTATAAAATTCAAACAAGTTCATTGATACTTATATTTATTTATTTCCGCCTCCCGATAAAAAACCCCCAAATCTTAAATAGTAATTTTCAAAAAGTTTCATGTTGTCAATTCAAAAGGATTTAGCATGAACTGTGTACATTTGTTAATCAAACACGAAACAACTTACCTTGGACACTCCTGTGCCCAGTTCGTTCCATTATGTGTTGTTCGGGGATCCCTTTCTCGTAGAGTTTGGTTGCTGTTGTCACCCTCACGAACCTAATCAACCAGAATGATAGTTGTGCGTCATCCATGACATCAAGCATGGTAAGAATCTTCTCTTCTTTAAGGCGTTTGTTATTCCTCCAAATAGTCCAGTCGCTGAAGGTATTAACCACCCATTTGTTCCTCCGACGTGTGTTCTTGGGTACGGCGTGCTGTGCGCGCTCTTCAATATCCAAGTCAGTTGACAGGAACTTGTAACGGGTATTTTCAACGGTGTCTTCATCGTCACTAATATCGGAGTAATTAGACGAAATATCCATGCTTTTGGTAGTCTCCGGTCCAAACACTTGATTTAAATGCTCAATATTCTGTCTTGCTGCAACCAGCTCATCATTCGACTAAGTCGACATCTTGCATACGAGTGATCTTGACTATTCTAAACACCATGTGCTCCCAACTGAGTTGTATTTCTGTGATGTGTTTTTGTTTTCGTTTCGTTTTAAAAAGTTGTATTTCGTTTAGTTATAGAAATGTAAACAACCTAAAACTATTATCCCATAATTGCAACATTTGTTTTCTTTCAAAATGGAAATTACATGATAAAAACTCCCCAAATGTATAACTTATGGCGGTACTAGCAAAGTGCGAGAAATATCCCAACGATGTTTAAAATAAACTATGTCTGAGCGCCAGCACACACCCGCAGTGTTGACGCAGTGCTGTCACTGCATGATGTGCACGTGAAATTGCTGACGTTTGTCATGGTGAAATTGACATAACCCTGGCTGCTTCTGCTTTCAAACTTGCAAATAAGTAAAAGTATTTAGACTGATTTTAGAAAAGTCTAGTCAGTCGTTAACCGCAATGTGTAAGTCAAATAGCAACTCATCCCGCGGTTCATATGTAAAAGAACACCCTCGCTCCGCTCAGGCGTTCATTTTACCTATAAACCTTGGGATGAGTTGCTATTTACTACGTAGCTATACCCAGTCACGCTATATATCTTGTGATCTGTCAACACCAGGTCAGTCAGTCTGCAGTTTACAGGTCATGGTAAATATAGTTACTTATCTTATCTTCATATGGAATAATAAGTTGATCGAACATCAGTGATCTATACAATGACATTGCAGGTGAAAACTTGAATTTCACCTGAGATGTGATTGCATACATACACACACCCACGTCCATCTACACAAACGCCGAAAGGGTACAAGACGCCGTCCACAGAAGTGAGTATGTTTCTGACAAACTTTCCCGACTCAGTCAGATGAGCAACAGTGTGTTGATCGTAGTCAGTTACCAGGATGTCACCTGTGCTGGTACTTGTGATGCCACAAGGACTTCCCAGTCTCAGTCCTGTCGCAGGGTAGGTAAACACAACGTCCCCTTCAGCTGTAAGGCACAGGACACGCCCGGTACTGTCATCTGACACCAGGATGTTTTTTTTTCTTGTTGTACAAAGAAAGTTTGGACCGTGTATAATTTCCACCCCACTATCTACAAGGCTAATTGACCTTAGTACGTTTCCTGTCATGTCCAGAATATCCACACATCTTTCAGAACCTGCTGCTAGTGTTGATGGTGTCAGACACGTTATACCCCTGTACTGCTTGATGGTTGTGATGGTTGACATCAGAACAAGTCCAGGGTTGCTTCGCACTGTTACAATCTGACTGATGTTCGGCACAGTGACAGCCACCTGGTTGTGTTTCAGCCTTGTTACACCCAGCGGTCCACCTTCCAGTGTGACACAGGAGCAGCCTTCAGGTCCAGTACGTTACCAGTGTCTTGTGACACAGGAGCAGCCTTCAGATCCAGCACGTTACCAGTGCCTTGTGACACAGGAGCAGCCTTCAGATCCAGTACGTTACCAGTGTCTTGTGACACAGGAGCAGCCTTCAGATCCAGTACGTTACCAGTGCCTTGTGACACAGGAGCAGCCTTCAGGTCCAGTACGTTACCAGTGTCTTGTGACACAGGAGCAGCCTTCAGATCCAGCACGTTACCAGTGCCTTGTGACACACGAGCAGCCTTCAGATCCAGTACGTTACCAGGGTCTTGTGACACAGGAGCAGCCTTCAGGTCCAGTACGTTACCAGTGTCTTGTGACACAGGAGCAGCCTTCAGATCCAGTACGTTACCAGTGTCTTGTGACACAGGAGCAGCCTTCAGATCCAGTACGTTACCAGTGTCTTGTGACACAGGAGCAGCCTTCAGATCCAGTACGTTACCAGTGTCTTGTGACACAGGAGCAGCCTTCAGGTCAAGCACGTTACCAGTGCCTTGTGACACAGAAGCAGCCTTCAGATCCAGTACGTTACCAGTGTCTTGTGACACAGGAGCGGCCTTCAGGTCCAGCACGCTACTGGTGTTTTGTGACACAGGGGCAGCCTTCGGGTCCAGCACGCTACCGGTTTCTTGTAACACAGAGGCTGCATTTAGGTCCTGCATTCAATCATAATAGACAACAATCTCACCCAGCTGTAGATCAGCCAGTGCTCTACTTAGCTTGTCTGTGTTCTGTCTGAACATGATTCTGACTATTCTTCCAAACTCCTTCTGGTCTACGTCTCCATCAACCTCCACATCACCGGCCTCGCACCCCTGATACATCTCATACACATCCATGTCACACTCAGATTGTAGAGCCTGGTCGATCAGCTCAGTCTGTTGTTGGTACATCTGTACTGACATTTCGCCCGTCTTCAAGTCAGCTGCCAGTTGTTCAATGTGCTTTTCCGAAACATCTTTCAGTTCATCTAGCAGTTTATTTTCCATTTGTGTTATCTTCTCTCTCGCTTTGGTTCCAAAAGACTTGATGTCCTGTTCCATTTTTCGATATCGATGTTTTGCAGAAATTATGTTCACTGTAACAACATCAACTTTTGTTTTCATTTCCATTTGCTTCTTTGAAATAGTTTCCTTCTTATTCAACAGCTGTGACTTCAATGCAGGTAATTCCGACTCCAGTGTGACAACTGACTGACATTTCCTGTGATAGATAACACAACAGGTGTGACAGGTGACTTTCTCGCAATCTTTGCACAGGAATTTGATGCACTCATCTTTGTGTTCATTACACATCACTTTACGTCTCCTGGAGATATTGACCTCAGACCCAGAGAGATCAAGTACGTCATGGTGACGAGTGGCTGGAAAACGTCTGTGTGCCCTGGCACATGCTTCACACAAGGCGTCATTGCGTGCCGAACACCACACAGTCGCAGGAGTTGTCTCCCCTTCTCCCCGACAGCATGTGCAATCGTTTGCCTCTGCACGAAAAACGGATAGATTGATGAAAAGAAACCAGCAATGCATATTGCCATATTTTATCACATACACCTGATGTGAATGAGTATTTGTCATATGCTGATTTACCTAAACCTTAATATCTGTCAACTTTGTCACACATAAAGAAAATCTCAAAATTTGTAAACATTTCACATATGAAGAATATTTGACAAGTATATATCTAAATGACTGTAATGTGAGTGAATAGTTTGACCCTATCATTTTCATCTGATTATCCTACAGATTTCAGAAGTGACAATCATGCAGCGGCGCAGCATTCAAGGGTATACATCAGGTAAAAACAACTGATTAAAGTAGCTATCGGTACTCTTTATGTTTACAATTACACGTTGTTACACTGAAGGGAACATACGCAACAGTGGAACCTAAGAAGAACACTTTTTGCATGTACCTCATGATATTTACAAAAGCAAAGTCACTATCATCATACAGCCACCCCACGCTATCCCTTACGTAACTTTAAAACAATCAGCGAATATTTGTGTTTATCATACAATGGATAGTGTTCTCGGGAGGATAAAGCCAACGAATATTTTCGGTATCAGTTGGGGTCATATACGGATATCGATGCAAATTAGAGAGGTCATATGCACATTTTAGGGACTACTTTCACAGTGTAAACAATCATGGCGTCAATGGTCGGCGGTCGTGTCCGGATTGACGGTCGTGGTAACGGAACTGTCAGTGCTTTGATCCAAGAAAATTCGTGCCTGGTTATTATTCATGGAGTAGATTACAAAGCGAAGATAGAAATTCATAGGTTTACAAAGATACCAACATCAGTTCCCCGACCGACTGTTAGTGTTAGCGAGAGAATGGCACCAGGAATCCAGGTGCACAACGCGAATATTAAAGTGTATTTGCTGTTCAAAAGGTTAATTAAAGGTTTCTGAAGTTCCACGCGAGTTTGTTGGCAACAATATACGTGCTTTAACATAAAAACTGACTAGGAACTATATGACGTAACGCAGTCAAATGAGTGTCCAGTAGAAAATTGCGTCACCGAGCTTGTGACGTCACGTTTTACTACGCACATATTTGTGACGTCATAGATATGTGGGCACATTTCATGATTTGTGGTAAATTAAATCGTATTTTTTTAAACTATAAAGTAAGAATGACATTGTATTATAAAAAAGGTTATCACACTCGTGTGTTTTGGGATGGTTGATATCCTGCATTAGGAATAACCATTGTATTTAGCGAGCCTTGGCGAGATAACCTATATGTCTTTCTTATCTATTCATGTTGGAACAAACAAGCTCATTGAATGTCGTTTATTACATAGCCGGTTTGAGTATGGTTTGTAGTATTACCTAATTGCTAAGAAGGAAAGTAGCTTGATAGCAAATGTACTCAATGCTGTCTGTATCTACCTTTACATCCGGGGCCAAAAGAGTCCACCAGTCCTTGGATGACAAAGCTCGGTTTGACGTCATCCGCCCACTCATCTATTGGTCTCTCGGGGGCACTCACTTTCGTCATTTTGCTGCAGAAACGACACAGCAGAGACTTGGCACTGATGGCTTGTGGTTTGGTTTTGGTATAGTTGACGACACATTTCCGACAGAACGTGTGATAACAGACAAGGGTGCATGGATTGTCAAACATCTCTGTACATATGGTGCATGTGAGGAAATATTCCTGCAGTTTCTGAGACGTCGCCATCTACAAACAGAAGATGCACGTGAAATACAGAAAAATATCTACACGATAGTAAGTGTTTATTTCAAATTTGTAAATATACAAGCGGTTCCACTGATGAATATATGCATGGCATTTGTTCTGGAGAAGTGGGGAGAAAGTAAACGTCAAAGATCAAGGCCTTCTGCAATCAGTATCTTGTGTGCCCACCCTGGGAAAGAACAGCCTGATATCTCTTCCGAAAGAATCCATGAAAGTACTAATTCGGGAATGGTCGTCCACTTGGCCGCGACTGTGGTTGAAGCTGTCGCTCATTCTGTGTTTGTCTGGGTTGAGATTTGGTGAGGAAAATGGTCTGAATATGTCGTGTTGGTTAAGCTGTGAATCGTTTGGCTGTTTGGTCTGGTGATATCATGCTGGAATCCACGAACATTAATCAGATTGATTCTGGCATTGTGTATAATTGGTGTCAACATAATCACTCTACTTCCGCTAAACACGTGGACGTTCAAGGGGACGTCTAAACATCTTCAATCTTCACCATGGGGCAAAATACGTGACTTATGCACATGGCAACAATGACGTTGTAGATGATGAATCTTTACAAGCAACACAGCATAGATGCATTATGTTTAACCAATCAATCCATTGGCCATTTTCCATCTGATAAAATGTGATACGAAATAATAAGCTTCTTATTTCTTTTGACGTGTCTCTCATGGAAGTTATCACCACAGTCGCATTTAACAGAGCCATATACGTGTATTGTCACGCAAGCAAACACTGCACTTAACCTATTTGCATTAGGTAAAATAGACCTGCCCAAATAAACGCAACATCACTAGCCAGTATGAATCATTGCAGGCTTGGTGACAGCCATGGTAGTTTACAGACTGGAGGCAATGTGCCGTTATGCTCACAGATCGACCCACCTCAGATTAGACTGTAGATATCCATACACCTGTATATGACGACAGCAGAGAAGGCAACACAGCAGAAGGAAGGACTCGAATACAAATTATAAGATCATTACCATCTTGTCGATTCTAAATTTACTAATGATGTCGTTATACCTGTCGCTGGTCATTGGTAGAATTGTAGTGAACCGAGAATCTGGCAAATATCACCCGCATGCCAACTTACCTTCACTTCCTCGTTCCCCCCAGTAGGTGTAGGGGGAGATTGTACCACGTGACGAATACTGGTTAGAGTCAGGTTAGAGACAGGACAACTACCCGTGGTTGAGCTTTTGGTTCTAGGGTCTTTTTGCCAGGGGTCCGATGTGTCACGGGAACAACACGATAATGTAATGTTTTGTCATTGCTTTCATTCTGTGTGTCTATTCTTCCGAATATTTTATATCCTGATTTCAGAACTTTGGTTAAACTGCATTCCTGAATATTTCGCGAAATCCGTAGAACATAGTGCCGTGGCGGGGTGGAGGAGTAGCCCAGAGTAGGCGACGTCGGGTCGGGTTCGAATCTCAGCATGGGTACAAAGCCCATTTGTGGTGCCTTTTAGCCGTCAGACTGAGCCATTCACTCAATCACCCAATCAGAGTAAAAGATAAACATGTTTTTTTTAAATTGTTTAGGTCCCTTCCTAGGAAAGTTGGAAAAGGCATTTCGTAATGATTAAAAAAATATATTATATGTGACACCAGAGCTGATAAGAAAAGTTATACAAGTGTGTTGTTTGTCAAGAAAGTCCAATTTCCACTGTTAAGATTTCCTGTCGACTGTGGTAACACGGACCTCGACCCAGATTGTTCCTCCGTACAATACTAGGTGCATTTGCTCAGAGCAGTTCATAAAAAGAATATGTTTAGTACAGGCAACTGTCTCGTGTAAGTATGTTACAGATTGCATGCTTGGGAAGCACACATTCGAACTATTCCCTTTGTGATCTTGTAAACAACGTTCCAATGGGTTGTTCAAACCTGATCTTTACTGATATCAGATATCTGTGCAGCCATAGAGAGGGTACAGCCGGGGTTACCCTATCTCTGTACACAATTTCGATATTGAGACCAACCGACTGTTTCGAGATGTGTTTTTGATAGATCTGTACTGCATCACACGTTATATGCTTTAGCAAAGTATATATATATGTGTCGTGGTCTAACCACAAATTAAGCATTATTTATTGTCTCTGTAATTCATCTGCTATTGCTGACAGATTTCATTAGCTCGTTCTCGTTCATATACAGAACCACAACCAAAGTTCGTCAATCCACATTAATATCATTTTCCTAACCCGTATGAATTTAAGAACCTTCTAAGCTCAAACGATGTGTCCGTATTAAAGAAGCTGTGTGCATTTGCTGCAGTTATAAATTGTACTCTTGGACCAAACTGTCGTTAACTGTCATGTCGGTCATGTTGCTTGTAATACTGCTGTTTGAAAATATGCTCTTGTACCACCGTTGCAGGTTTTTGAGAATAGTTCAAGCTTTTAAACTGTCTTTGAAACCTATTGCCACAGTTTGTATCTGGATCAAACTTCCCTTACCTTGTGCTTCTTCTGTAACGAAAAAGCATGAATTGAATACTTGATTTTCCGCCATGTTACTAGGCCGCCTTTTCTGCTCAAGTCGAGTATTTGTTTCTATTTAGCGTCTCCATTTAACACTGGCGCAATGTCCCCACATGCACCACCAATAAATTCTGCACTGACCGTTTTGTTATTGAATGTGTCAGAGCACAGTGCAAATGAACTACTGCACAGTGGTTGTTTGCATATATCGTCTACAGGTAACAGGTTGGGATTCAACAGTCGACTAAAATACTTATCAGAAAGAGAATTCACCAGAAGCTTGAATTTATTCCTTGGCCTATGGACAAACCAACGCTGTATTGGAATCAGTTATTCAGAGACTTTCACCTTTTTTAAGTTGAGTGCAACTCGCTGCTCACAGTGATTTTGGTATCAAGGGGGATAACTCTAATTGGGGACGTTATGAGCGGAAGTTGACGGTTAAAAGAAAGCCAAGCGTATTTTGTCTTGAAAATAGATAATTTTGAAGATTTATTTTGCAGTAAAAAGCAGGTTAAAGTCTGTATTCGCCAGGAAAGTTTCACCTAACGTTTCAAATCACTTTAATCTATTACTGCACTAGGTTATGCTTGAGTTTCAACGCAGTTACATCTTTGTCTCATGAATGTTTCATCAAGTCGCATGTGACTTTCATGTATGTGTTGGAACCGTGTTGTAACAGTGGAGTTCTGCATTAAACAATTTAGACTTTGAGTTGATATTCCATGAATACGAAGAGGCTGAGCCATACACCCACATCGCAAAACAATACAAACGCATTGTCCACTCCCTCATTCAATCAACCACTTCACCAACCAAACAATCTCTCAATCAACCATCCTCTGGACCAACAAACCTTCAACCTATAAACCTTTCAACCACCGAAACACTCACAAATTATCAGGAATTCAGCCATTTCAACACAAATAACCAGGAATGATAAATTCACAAAATTTCAAAACCTTATTTCAAAAGTGACTTCTTTTTTCGCTAGCTTTGCATAGATGTTATGCAGGTCACAGGTTGGGATTCAACAATCAACTAAAATACTTACCAGAAAGAGAGTTCGGCATGGATCCCCAATCAAGCCTTGGGTCTAGTTTTAGTGAGCCTGATCTTTATATCGATCCAGGAGCCTGTTTTCCGTGAATGTTTCGTTAAGATGCGTCTCCAACCATAATTATGGAAACGTGTCAGTGAGACACCACATGTGTCCACAGTTGTATTTAAGACAACAGGTGATAAGGCGAGTTGCTGCAGTCTTTAGAGGATAATGTAATTTGATTTGACTGTTGGAAAATAGGTCTATGGAATTTATTATAAGAGAACAGTGTAGTAATCATGTATGGATGGGACTTGGCGTGGACAGAATATAGGAAGAGACCCAAATAGCCAAAGTTAAAAGTCGAAATGAACATTGACTACATGTAACAATGCAGATGAGTCAAGGTACAAGATGTGTCAAGGTCATGCCAGAATTCTGCTTTGCCCAATTATGTGGTATCTCGTGCATGTGGGTTTCGCCCAGTCTAGGACCTGTTTCAGTGCAGATGTTAATTATAAATTGCTTTCATCACGAACTAGGATTGATGTTCTTTTGCTCTGTAATATAGTAGATCGTCAGCATGATAAAGACACAGACACAGATATCAGGTACTAGAAACAGATCACCCCTGAAGACACCAGAAATGGGCTCCACACATTTTATCTACGTGGGGCTTCGAACCCGACCTCGGGCGTGACGGGCCAGACCTTAACCACTATGCTTATCCTTCCCCCTCCACGGCCTCTATGTCCTACGGTATTCGCGAAACATTCAGGTGTGAAGCTTAAAGAAAGGTTTGAAATCAGGTTACATACTCCTGTATTCGAATGAAACGATGCGCAAAATGAAAGCAACGACAAAGCGATGTGTGCAATATCGTGTTATTCCCGTAACAGCTCCGACCCTTGCCGCCTACATGCTTTCCCTTAAGCAAATATATTCGCAGCCTTGAGCTCAATAACGGGTGGTTGGCGTGCTCGGTGATAACCCGTCGCTAACCAGTCCAATGTCACTCTACACCGACTCGGTGGAACGAGGAAGTTAAGGTAAGTGGGCGTGCTGGCGATAGTTGCCAGATTTCATGTTTCATTTCAATTCTAACAATGTTAAGATAGAGAGACGTCAGTACGCCGTGATTGAACGACCAGGTGTGAAATAATACGGTGGTAATAGTCTAAAATTTCAGCCATGGTGTTGTTTTCCCTGTGTATGACCTTCCCACTGAGGGAACCGACTACCCTCATCTCAAACAAGTTGGTGTGTAGACTTACCGATACACTGGCGTCAGCTAATTTCTATGTCTATCATATGTACGTATAACACAGTTTTGAGACAGTATGGGTGTATAGTGTCAAGTGTAATTGCATTTGTTGGGGGGAAACCTCCTACAGCTTGCTTTCGTTTTGGAGATGAGTTTTGCAATCTTTGTCAGTACATCATATACGCGACAATAAACGTAAATGCACCAATTGGAATAATACTAATATGAAAAGCCTTTACAGGGGGACAAGACCAAACTAAAATATTATAGAATCTGAACGTAATAAAGTTTACATGTTGTATAGGGGTGACACCATACTTGGGTTGTTAGGTGACGTCATGGAAAACCCATTCTTATCAGTATGCACGTGATTCTCTATATCAATTTATCAATGGTTATTTACACAATATTGACAAGAGTGATTAATTTTGTCTTCTTTATCAATAGTAATAGATAAGACGATACGGGAATGTGAGAACAAGTGACAACATACAAATGAATCATTATTATTATAGGATATTTATATAGCACACATATCCACGCAACTAGTAAATGCACAAGGCGCTGGAGTGTTCCCTTGATCAACGGATGTCTTTTTTCTGGCATTGTTTTAACCAACTCAACTCCCCGGGGAGTATTCAACTCATGCAGCCTGTTACCTCACAGGGTACTGTCGCGTTTGGGTGTTAGTAAACCCTACCCCAGTTACCTATTGATTATGGTCGTTCCACATTGTCAGGGGAGATTTAAGCTCCAGCTCTGCACTCGCTTGGTCCATGGGGAATGCTCAGCCAAGGAGTGAGGGGTCGGACGACCGTGACTCCTAACTAACTACATCACATTCATGTACTGGCTTACATACATTCAAGGATAAACGCAACACCAAGTTCTATACTCACATAGGTTTACTGTCTCTCAGTTCATATATCTCAGTACAACTCCAACACAAGACAGAGCAGGCTCGTATCCTACGGGGAACTTAGTAAAGTGGATTGGCTTCTGAAATGTTGAGCTAGTACTCTCCGCTCTCTCTCTGCGACCAAACATGTCTTTGTAAATGAGACGAGCCTGACCTTATCTTGATCACATATTTCAACATATTGTTTTGATTCGTTAATAACTGTATCTGTCCTTTCACTCATGTGTATTATAATTAGAGGGGTCTCGGACAGCACCGTTCAGTGACTCTCCCCTTTTCACTGATTTGCTACTTCCGTCTCCGCCCTTCAACTCATGTATTTCGTAACCTTCCTCTTACGACCTTGTCGTGTCCTTGCCTCAAGAAAGTTTTAGCCAAGTTCATATCTCAGTGTTTATCTTTCTCTTATTCCCGACTTTCTGTCTCTATTATGTGTTTAACCGTTCTTAGTCATGAGCCAAAGGTTATCAGTTCTGAGTCATATTGGTAATCGAAATACGGAATCTGCTGTAATTTTCATACTGCTTTAGGGATGCATTTTCACCTTATAACAGTACCCATTTCAAGCTGGGTGAACTGGGCCCCCAATTCATGTAGTCACAGTATTTTGTCCAATGATGCTGCACGTTACTATACCCGCAACTTGGTGTCTGTATGTGTTCGTGTGTCCACCATCTGGTCACCTGTCATCGGATGATATTTCTATATCAACATAAGAATGATGTAAATCACATGACGTATTACTATGACAACTTTTGTCTTTTTGTTCCCTCATAATGTCATGTGTTATGCAGTATAGTTTCTTTATCTTTAACCACATGGGAACAATGTGTGGAGTCCATTTCTGGCGTACCCCGCCCTGATATTGATGGAAAATTGCTAAAAGCGGCGTCAGAATACACTAAACTCAATCAATCAATCAATCAATCTTTACCTTTAACAGGAAATTGTTTAATCCAGTTTTACTTATTTAGTACAAAAAGAGGCGTAACTTTGTCAGTGACCACATCCTCCTCACACTGTTCATGAAATTCATGTCACTTGGAATTTGAGGATTACTTCTCACAAGTTACTTACTTACCAAGTTCTGACTGTTTTTGTCAGGTGTTGTTACAGAAACAAAGACACGCAAAAGTAAACATAAATCATCAAGTAAATTGATTGGCTGTTCAGACGTTAAAACAAACATAACTAGACACACTTGGTACAGCGAGGTCAGGGCCTCATCAACATTGGTTCCCCGTCAAAACCTAGCAGCCGGGAGATACGTATATACTCAGAGATAACTTTGAAGATGACTAAATACAGTTACTCAAACATTTCAACCTACATAGACTGGGTTGTCGTCTCAGTTACATTATTTTCATGTCGTCTTAGGTTAAACTTCTTTTCAATAAATGAATTGGTAGAGGATAACGATATGGTTGGATTATCCATTGATGAGGTCTTAGCAACCAGAGTATAGGTCACGTGAGAGGCTTATCTATTGATGACGTCACGTGTTGGCGATTAAATAATCATTAATCAAACTCATCATTTTAAATAGGCCATACATGCCAATATAGACATAACTTGGTAATCCGTGTGAGAAGTAATCAACTTACTCCAAGTTATTTCAAGAATTTCATGAACAATGTGATGGTGATGTGGTAACTGATAAAGCTGCCTGTCTTTTGTACTAAATCCGTAAAACTGGATTAAACTAGTTCTTGTATAGGTAAAGAACCCCTGGGGAGCAAGGGTAAAACCATATGTGTCACGTGTGCTTCACAAGATACTGACTGCAGGTGACCTTGTCCTTTGACGCTTGAGTTTTGCCCATATATCTTACAGTAAATATAAAAAAAATAAAATATGTATAATGTCTGATTCACTCAGTGATTATACATAACCGCTGAAGTTTTCAGGGATTATACATAATCACTGAGAAAAAGACTAAAATTTTAGACATTCATCTGCGACGCTTGTCATCTGTGGAAGCACTGGTATATTTACAAATTTGAAATGAACACTTGCTATCGTTTATATATTATCATTATCATGTATTACATCTGCATCTTCTGTTTGCAGATGGCGACGTCTCAGAAACTGCAGGAACATTTCCTCACATGCACCATATGTACAGAGGTGTTTGACAATCCGTGCACCCTTGTCTGTTATCACACATTCTGTCGGAAATGTGTCGTCAACTACACCAAAACCAAACCAGAAGCCATCAGTGCCAAGTCTCTGCTGTGTCCTTTCTGCAGCAAGATGACGAAAGTAACCTACCCTGAGAGACCAATAGATGAGTGGGCGGATGACGTGAAACCGAGCTTTGTCATCCAGGGACTGCTAGACTCATTTGGTCCCGGATGTAAAGGTAAGGATCAATGGTAAACTGGTACTGCAATGCACGATGGTCTATTGGATGTGTCTTGCACCACACTCAAAAGAAAGGAAGGATAGACACGTGTAAAATCTGTTAAATATTCGTCTGTGGTCGTCGTATAAAGTTTGTAGCCGTGCCATGTTCGACTCTTAACCTTTGCGAAGGCAACACACTCCCTTACTCAATGTAAAAATAACTGATCTAAATCTACATGTAATTGCAAATACATTCATTATTTACTGATGCAAATTTGAATTTGTACCACCACAATACTCATGAATGTAGTGGTCCTGCATAGCTGTTTTCTAAATATCTTGGTTGAAGTTAAAAGGTAGGGTATTTAGGGTTCAAGTGATACCTCATTTTTCATTATGTCAAACTAGTCATTCAAGTTCCCGAAATCTGAAGTCAGTCTTGCAGATATCTTTGTAATATATATCGTGTTGTGAGGTAGCTTACACTAAAATTGCAACAACAATTCATAAACCACAACAAATTGTGCAATTACGTACACAGATAGAGTGAGTGAGTTTAGTTTTATGCCGCCTTTGGCAATATTACAGCAATATCACGGCGGGGAAACCAGAAATAGGTGTCACTAATTGTGCCCATCCGGGAAATCGAACCCGGATTTTCGGCGTGACGATCGAACGCTTTGACTACAAGGCTGGCCTACCGCCCTTAAATAGCTAGACGTGAGAACAAACACGCGATGATACGATGCTGAATGCTTTTCATTCAACCTTGGTTTTTTTGTCCAGATATGAAGAACTGCACGTGCTGTCATCGCGAAGGGGAGACAACTCCAGCGACTGCGTGGTGCTCGGTATGCGATGACGCCCTGTGTGACGTATGTGCTAGGGTGCACAGTCGCATCTCATCCACTCGTCATCACCATACAATTGACCTGACTAGTGAGGCCATTATCCCCAGGAAACGAAACATCAAGTGTAAAGAACACAAGGATGAAAACATTAAATTCCTGTGCAAAGATTGCAAGAAAGTCACCTGTCACACCTGTTGTGTTATCTATCACAGGAAATGTGAGTCAGTTGTGAAACTGGAGTCGGAATTACCTGCATTAAAGTCCCAACTGTTGAATAAGAAGGAAACTATTTCGAAGAAGCAAATCCAAATGGAAGCAAAAGTTGATGCTGTTAAACTGAACGTCGATTCTGAAAAAGATCGATATGCAAGAATGGAACATCACATCAAGTTTTTTGGTACCAAAGCGAGAGAGAAAATAGCTCTCATGAAAAATATACTTCTAGATGAACTGAAAGAAGTTTCTGAAAAGCACATCGAACAACTGACAGCCGACCTAAAGTCGGTTGAAATATCAGTACACATGTACCGACAACAGACTGAGCTGATAGACCAGATTCTACAATCTGAGTGTGACATGGACGTGTATGAGATGTATCAGGGATGTGAGGCCGGTGATTTGGATGCTGTCGGAGACGAAGACGAGAAGAAGAGGGGTAGAATAGCCAGGATCATGTTCAGACAGAACGAAAACATGCTGAGTAGAGCTCTGGACGATCTACAGCTGGGTGAGATAGATGTCCAGTATGACGGTATGCTGAATTTGGAGACAACCCCTGTATCTCAAGACACCAGTAACATTCTGGACCTGATGGCTGCTCCTGTGTTACAGGGCATCATTAGCGTTAAGGTAGCTGGAGATGAGAATCATGTATACCCTGTTGACTGTTGTCTGAATGGTACAGACACAGTGGTTGTAACAGACTTCTACAACAAATGTGTGAAGTCCTTCTACACCAGGAACAAACAGCGACATCACCGCAAGCTCCCACTGGGAAGTGGACCGTGGGGTATAACAAGGCTGAAACACAACCAGGTGGCTGTCACTGTGCTGGATACCAAACAGATTGTAACAGTTGAAGTGAACCCTGACCTGGTGCTGCTGTCGACCATCACAACCAGCAAACAGTACTGGGGTATAACGTCTCTGACACCATCAACACTAGCAGCAGGTTCTGATAGATGTGTGGATATTCTGGACATGAGAGGAAACGTCCTGAAGTTAATTAAACCTATAGATAGTTGGAAGGATATCATACATTCTTCTGAGTTTCTTTATACAACAAGAACAGGAAACATCTTTGTGTCGGATGGCGGTTCGAGGCGTGTCCTGTGCCTGACAGCTGATGGGGACGTTGTGTTCACCTACCCTACACCAGGACACACAACACTGGGATATCCACGTGGTATCACAAGTATCAACACACTGTTGTTCGTCTTACTGAGTCAGGACAGTTTGTCAGAAACATACTCACTAAAGATGATGGTGTATTGTCCCCGCACGGAGTTTGTGTAGATGGACACGGCCGTGTTTATATTTGTAATTACATTTCAGGTAAAGTATTAAGTTTCAGTAACACAATTTAGACCTTTGATTCTTTCTCAAGTGATCATTGCATCTGTAAATTACAATTAGCTACATTTAAAACGACCTCCTGATCGCAGATTGACTGAGCTGGTGTTGACAAATCATCACATGTAAAATACTGTGTGTCTGAGTATATCTAATATATAGTGTGAATGAGTATTTCTGACTGTTTAGTGTGACTGAGTATATCTCATGTATAGCGTGACTAAGTATATCTAAAATACTGTGTGACTAAGTATATCTATCTAATATACTGTGTGTCTGAGTATATCTAATGTACAGTGTGACTGAGTATATCTAATATACTGTGTGTCTGAGTATATCTAGTATACTGTGTCTCTTAGTACATCTAATGTACAGTGCGACTGAATATATCTAATATACTGTGTGTCTGAGTATATCTAATGTTCAGTCTGACTGAGTGTATCTAATGTACTGTGTGTCTGAGTATACATTTACATTTCAGGTAAAGTATTCAGTTTCAGTAACACAGTTTAGACCTTTGATTCTTTCTCAAGTGATCATTGCATCTGTAAATTACAATTAACTACATTTACAACGACCTCCTGACCGCAGATTGACTGAGCTGGTGTTGACAAATCATCACATGTAAAATACTGTGTGTCTGAGTATATCTAATATATAGTGTGAATGAGTATTTCTGACTGTTTAGTGTGACTGAGTATATCTCATGTATAGCGTGACTAAGTATATCTAAAATACTGTGTGACTAAGTATATCTATCTAATATACTGTGTGTCTGAGTATATCTAATGTACAGTGTGACTGAGTATATCTAATATACTGTGTGTCTGAGTATATCTAGTATACTGTGTCTCTTAGTACATCTAATGTACAGTGTGACTGAATATATCTAATATACTGTGTGTCTGAGTATATCTCATGCATAGCGTGACTAAGTATATCTAATATACTGTGTGACTAGGTATATCTATCTAATATACTGTGTGCCTGAGTATTTCTAATCTACAGTATGACTGAGCATATCTAATGTACAGTGTGACTGAGCATATCTAATGTACAGTGTGACTGAGTATATCTAGTATACTGTATGTCTGAGTATATCCAATATACTGTGTGACTGAGTATATCTAATGTACAGTGTGACTGAGTATATCTAATGTACAGTGTGACTGAGTATATCTAATGAACAGTGTGACTGAGTATATCTAATATACTTTATCACTGAGTATATCTAATGTACAGTATGACTGAGTATATCTAATACACTGTATGGCTGAGTATATCTAATGTACAGTGTGACTGAGCATATCTAATATACTGTGTCTGAGCATATCTAATGTACTGTGTGACTGAGTATATCTAGTATACTAAGTGTCTGAGTATATCTAATGTACAGTGTGACTGAGTATATCCAATATACTGTGTGACTGAGTATATCTAATGTACAGTGTGACTGAGTATATCTAATGTACAGTGTGACTGAGTATATCTAATGAACAGTGTGACTGAGTATATCTAATATACTTTATCACTGAGTATATCTAATGTACAGTATGACTGAGTATATCTAATACACTGTATGGCTGAGTATATCTAATGTACAGTGTGACTGAGCATATCTAATATACTGTGTCTGAGCATATCTAATGTACTGTGTGACTGAGTATATCTAGTATACTAAGTGTCTGAGTATATCTAATGTACAGTGTGACTGAGTATATCTAATGTACTGTGTGACTGAGGAGTCTATCCTAAAACTGAGAATATATAATATACTTTGAGACTGGGGAAAACTGATATTAAGTGCCAGTTAGTATCACGTGAATACCCATTGAACTTGTAACGTATACAATTCAGAATACGTTTTATAGTGGTGTATTAGTATATGTAGCAGGACTGAATCAATGAAGGCACACTTACTGGTATCGGTGTGTGTCATCTTTAGCTTAAACTTAGAATGCAAAGCATAATGTGTACTTAGGGCTACTACACTGTTTGTGAAATTACTTAAATATCTAAATTAATCCATTTGTATATTAGGTTCATCAAGGTGGACTGATATTCTGTCATTGTGAACAGTTCCGCGTATGTGACATTTGCTTCAGTGCTAATCACCTTTACCTCAACTTGGAATTGATGTCAGATTCCAAGCCTGTTCTTTGTACCTTGAATTATTTTGCATCGTTATAGATATTCATATTTCGTGAATATAACTTTGATTAATGTATGTAAATGCAAACCTCCTCGCCATTTTGAGCAGCCCGGAGAAAATGTTTAATTCCACGTGGGTAGTACTAGTACTGCTTTCTCCAGCAGTAACAGAGACTTCTGTGTGTGTGAAGATGAATTTACAAGATTTGTGTTCCGTGTGATATGATTTACTACTTCTCGATCATAAGCTGCATCCAATTAGTAGATCAGCGCGTTTCCAATAACCGAGATCAAGAACTTCCTGTTAAACGACTATTCTCAATTGCCTGTCAAAGGCACTGCTCTGTTCCCAAAGTGTGTCTGCGAGTAGTTACACAGAAAAACTTTTTTCCATGTTTATAAGTGCAATCTAGCAGTGTTTTGTATCTATTATTGGGATCTG